CTCGGCACCTGCCGAGGCCCCGGAAGCAGCTCATACACAGCTTGGGTCGAGTTGTTCAGCCCGGAGAGGAGAAGGCTCCTTAGATCAGCCTTAGGGGCTCAGAAGGGGCCTACAGGAGAGCTGGGGAGGAGCTTTTTACAAGGGCATGTAGTAATAAGGGGTAACGGATTAAAAGTGGAAGAGGGGAGATTTAGACATTAGGGGAAACTCTTCACTGTTAAGGATGGTGAGACGCTGGCACAGGGGTCCAGGGAAGTTACGGAAGCCCCACCCCTGGCTGTGTGCAAGGCCAGGTTGGATGGGGCCCTGGGCAACTTGATCTTGTGGAGGTGTCCCTGCCCATGCAGGGGAGTTGGAACTAAAGGATCTTTAAAGGTACTGTCCAACATCAACCATGCTGATTTAATGAGCTACAAGACTTAAGTGTTGGTATGCTTACCCAAATCCAGGTGCCTCAATGTTACTGTTACCATTTAGCAACTTTTCCCTTATGAGTTCTATAACATTCATATTACTGTTTGGTTTTAATTCTTGCATCTGCATCTCAAAAGAAAAAAAAAATAATCTTAGCTCTGTCTACATGTTAACCCTTTATTGTGCTTGTTTCTTTTCTAAATACACCCCAGCTCTATCCAACAACCTAGCAATTTCCTCATGCTGTACAGAAAAACTAGGTCCTGAAATCACAGGCAGTTGAAGCCTCAGGAGGAAGGGGTTACATAAGGTAGGAGTACACTTAAGCTACATCATAATTAGTAAGAGAAAACGTGTGTTGAGAAATAGAGCAATTCTGTTTCAATACCCAGAGAGAAAACAAATGGAAATAACTGCATTTTTACCCTTTTGAAATAACAGTCCACCAAAATAAAGAACATGATGGAGAGTTTAATTCAGAATTATAGCCTTTGACACATTACATCTCAGAACATGAATTTAGTATTCCCACTGCACAAACTTCCATACCCATACTTTCTGGAAAGAGAAAGGGAAAATATTTTATAGTCTTTAATGCTTACACAACATCCAAGATGCAAAGTATTAGTGAAACCAGTAGTATCCTGTTGGCATACTATGAAGGTAGTGCTTAACGCTTTTAGCAAGAGAAGGGATTATAAATAAAAGTATCTCAACATTAGAGGAAGGGAAAACCTACTTCCCAAGTGTTTCGCAGAATTAATTCTTTCAAACAGTACTTCAACCCAGGAGAAGAGCAACAAATCCCTGAAGGTTTTGTGCTGCCCTGAAAGACATTTGAAGCAGGAGTGTGACTTGACACACGCAGCAGTTACCTACACAGACACACAGAAATCCACCTTTAAAAACAAGTAGCATTTATAGTGTTTGATTCCCTTATATACAGGTACAAACTTTTCTGGCCTCTGTTTTTCTTTCTAGAACTTAATGAGACTGTGCAATACTGGAGCAGTAGTCTAATATATCCTGTATAGTGAATTCCATAGTAATTCCTGATCCAGGATAGCAGCGAGCTATCAGCCCTTCAAAGTGCTTGTACTGTCGTATAAACTCATCTTGCATGGAATGCCACACAACCTGCCAAAGAAAGCAAACTTTAGGAAATGTCAACTTGCACAACACACTAGGTAAGAACTACCAAATATTGGCTCATTAATTGATTCTCGGTTCAGCTGTCACTTTAAAACTAATGTTTGCTAACAAAGTTCAGTAAATGAGTTGCTGTATTAACAAAAAATCACAGAAGTTTTTTACCCATTAAGTTTAAGGTTTTACTGTTTACAAGGTTCCTACCAAATTGGCAAAGCAGAAAATAGTAAAGAAAAGGAAGTTGACCTAAAAGATGTATTGCTTTTGTCTTTAAAGGACACACCCCAAACCAGAACAGTGCTACTAATTCATGTTTCAGACTTTAAAAAGCTGTTAATACATACTTAACTCTTAAATCTACTTATCATTTACTGCAGTGAGAAATTTTACAGTGTAAAAAAAAACTTAAATAACTATCAGAAAAGATGCAACTGAAAATATATTCTGTCATAGTGTACCAGCTAAATTTCGTATCACATTCACAGTTAATTTAAATCTAGCTCTTTCTACTTCCAGCATATTTTCCAGAACAGATCACCCTCCTCCTTAATAGGCATGAAGGGAATCATAAAGGAATTTTTTTTCTGAACTCCATCTCTACTACAACAGTTCAAATCAATGTTACAACAAACGGAATGAGAGTGGAATTATAAAAAAATCTACTCAAGATTTATAGTTTTTTAGAGTTATGCTGAAGCTGGGCACTCCTCAGAGAATACATTTGCAAAAGCGATAGTAAAAGCCTTTGTGTAAACAAGGATTTTTTCAGTTACGATTTATTTTACCTGAAGTAAGTTTTCTTCTTCACAGAGATGTTTATCGACCTTCTTGTACAGATTATCCAAGCCCTTCTTCACTTCTTTGCCAGGATATTCCTTTATCACTTTACGGAGCTCTTGTTTATTAAAAGCCAGCTGATAGCTCACTTCCTCCTCTCGTATACCTTGTGCCACACGAGCTTCAACACCCTCAAAAAAATGCTAACCAACAATAACAGCATTATTATCACAAATCTAAACTAATTATCTACACATACGCCTGTCAAGTTAAGTCTTCGTTCTACTTGATGACTTTTGTGTGTACTAGTGTAAAACTGAAATGAATAATTTCTAGAAGCAATCAAGCTTTCCTTTGCAACCTTATAACCAATACTGAATCTGCCTCTAAATCCTCAATTAATGAGGCACAGCCTGGATCTTTTGGACAAATTGAGTAAGCATCTGAATAGGAATTTCTCTACTTCAACTGTAATTACACAACAGCAATATTTGTTCATAATTGCGCTCTCACTGCCCTGCACCAGCTGTCTCAATGTAATAAAAATGGAGGGAAGTGTGCCTGTGAGCATGCACGTAGAGCCACAAGGAGTTCATTTGCTTCACAGCATCCCTTAAGGTGCTGTGTTACGGATTTGTGGCTAAAACAGGGCTGATATCACACCAATCTTTTGGTTATTGCTGAACAGGTCAAACCCAGCTAAAGGGTATTCCATAGCATGTAACATCATGCTCAGCTATAAATATTAGAGTTAGAGGAGGCAGGTGGAGGTGGTATTTGTCTTCCAGGTGGCAGCTGCTCAGAAACTGGCTGGGCATCAGTCTGCTTGTGGGAGGTAGTGAGTGACTGCTTTTGCATCACTTTTTCCCCCTTCCCCCCTTGCTTCTTTTCAATGATTAAACTGTCTTTATCTCCATCCCCAAATTTTCTCTTTTGTTCTTCCTATTCTCTCCCTTGTCCTGCCTGGGGAGAGGGGGAGAGCAAGTTATATGGCAGCTTAGGTACTCACCACACTCAATCCACAAGTGAGAGGCAGTGATAAAGTATTTAAGTTTTGAAAAAGAGAATACATCTTAAGACTTTTCAGAAAACTAATGCCTGAAATCCTGCTTCTGTAAAATGCAGTGAACACTGGGAAAGATTCTGAGGGCAGAACTGAGTGCGTGGTCTGAAGCTGTGCCAGGGGAGGTTTAGGTTGGGTATTAGGAAGCACTTCCTCATGGAAAGGGTGATTAGACATTGGAATGGAGTGCCCAGGGAAGTGGTGGGGTCACCATCCCTGGAGATGACCCAAAGATTGGATGCAGCACTTAGTGCCTTGGTCTAGCCAGTGTGGTGGTGTTAAGTCATAGGCTGGACTTGAGGATTTTAGAGGTCTTTTCCAGCCTCAGTAATTCAGTGATTCTGTCAGTCTGAATGTTAATCAGCATTCAGCATAACACCTAGTTCAACTTCAGACATACAGAACTTTCCTAAAACTTTCATTATTGTTAAACAGTTCAGAATCTACAGTAATTCATCTCTACAGTTGAGGAGGGGAAAATTATCCCAAAGCTCCTGTTTACTTTTTCCCTCACTTCTTCCTTCCTCAAAACAGTTCGCTTAAGGCACAACTGATGTTTAGTCAGGACTGTCATTGTAATGAAAAATTGTATTATTTCCATCCAACACTGTTGCCCTCATGACTAGAATACTCTTGCCAGGCACGCTTGAGTCTAAAAATATAGAGTTGATGATAGAGGCAATGATAAAAAGTGCAAATTAAATGCTTGAGAAAGACTAGTCTATACCATTTAAATGTATAAAAACTCAAATATACGTACATTTAATTTTTCAAGAGGCTGTCCGAGTGAGTAGATTACATAAGACTGAAGATGATCGGTGTACTTCTGTTTGGCTTCTTTTTTCTCAGCTTCAAGACAAGAAATTTTCAAGCGAGAAAGCGTTGCAAAAATATGATGGAAGTTCTCCATCATGACCACATCTCTGGGTGTTTTCTGGCTTTCATTAGCTACTTTCTCAACTGAAAGAAAAAGGAAGCAAAAATACTTAAAATACTAAAAGGTCAAGCAATTTTTTTAAAAAAGTAACTGATAACCATAATACTGTCAGAAAAAAATATTTTCATTTTATGTCAATGATACCCTTTGTATGAGGATTGTCATTATTGCCTCTAATAAAACCAGTATCTGAGAGCCTTCAAAAGTAGTAACAGATATGTACAGGCTGCAAGACAATTACATTTGTATGCCAAAAAAAAGTCACTTATAAAAAGATACAAAATAATGACTACATATGGTCACTTACATAAGTGAGAAAAAACCCACATTCTAGCTTTCAAGCATGCTTTCATTATTCCTAAATATACTTCACATGACAGAACTACTTAAGAAAAGTCTCTTTTCCTTCTTTGCTAAAATAAAACTCTTCAATAGGTGGTGGGTTTTGAAAAAATGTTCTTCCTAGTTTTGCTTAGCTTCTTAGTTTGATGGACAAAGTTACTGGCAATCGCCAAATTTAGTAATAAAAATGGATAACCTTGCACATGGGTTTCTTACTTTCCACTCCCCCACCAAAAAAAACAGGGCAGGCAAAATAAATTCTACCTATTGCTCCCTTATTGCACCTAAAAGCAGGCTGGAAGAGAATAGCTTCAATGAAGAGCGCAATTAAATCTCTATGCCTGTTCATCCGTTAATCATTTTGCTGAGACTACCAGGATGCCCACCATGAAAGTGATCCTGGACACCAGAGTATTAATAAAGATTGTAAGTTCCTTTCAGTCAGAACACTGACTGAATTGCCAACTAGGCAGTCTGTTACTGCCGATTTTGTTCTTCCCATATAATTTTCTTACTGCCTCCCTCAGTTCTCTTTCTGACCTGTTTCAAACATTACTTGTAAATTAAATATCCTACTGCACTAAACATAATGCTTGCATTGATTTTGAACATTTTTTTTACTTTGTTCCATCTTAATTCTTTACTTCTATCCCTTCTCCTCCTTCATCACAATTCTTTGTTCTTTTAAGTTTGCTCTGTACTTGTCTGAAACAAATTTTGTTTCTTCTTTGGTGGCATAATTTTGAATCTTTTAAAATGTGCTTTTCTAAATTCTACCTAAACAAGTTATTTTATCATTGTATAGTTTTGCCTGTCTATTGGTGTTTGCTTGGCTTTATCACTTGAATGGGAATTTCTTAAGGACAGCAAAGTTGGGTACAATCAATTTATTTTCAAAATTTACTGTCCTATCAGCTGGGATGCTCCTGCTGACTACAAATAGTCCACTATGCCATGAAGTAACATCTCTTCATGATTCCTTAATATGTTCAGAACCACTATGCTATAACTTCCTCAAACTAGCTTTATTTCCTCTACTGTCTTCTCTTGCTCAATCTTCCCCTAAACAAAAGCAGTTAAGTTTCAGTGGCTGGGAATTATAAGTGGAGGTCTTTTTAAAAAGGATTGACAATTTTCCAGAGTTCACTGGCTTGCAGTAGGACAGTAGTGTTGCTGCTGTTTTTCCAGACTATAGCTGGGAAAATAGGGAGGACTGGAGGGACATTCAGTTGTGTCAGGCTAGGATACAAAGACTCTAATCTGTCAAGCAAGGGTAAAACTCCTAGCCAGACAAGGCTGTGAAGACAAACAGAAGATAAACAGGGATCCCATCCAGATTCATCTCCTCATGTAAGCTACACTGGAAGAAAAAAGACAGGAAACCACTTCAGACTATGCATGTTGTGTTGCTGTCATTTCCTCTCTCCCTCCTGAGTCTTAATCACTTCCCTCTGTCAGAACTCAGTTACTTTACACTAATGTACAAAGGGAAATATCCATAGTTTGCTCTAAGTATTTTATTATCAAAAGGTTTACACTTGCTCTCCTACCAATAACAGAGATAACCAAAATTCCAGCACAATATCAGCCACATGGTTGGCAAAAGAGTCTGAGAAAAAAAATTTTAAAATCATCTGTTAGTAGGAGCAAAATTATATATAAATAGGAGGAAGCAATCATTTTAGTAACTATGACAATTTTCAGATGACCTACCACTGACAAAAACAGCTCTAATAAGTTTTATGTAGGCTTTATCTAGATCTCCTCGTCGTTCTGCATTTTTGAAAATTGATTCAGCAAGGGCTGCAAACTCTTCAAATTCAGCAACAAATGGAAGGATCCCAACTTTACTCTTCTTTGAGATTTTTACTTCATCCATCTGCTTCATTTGATTACTCTTAAATTTGAAACAAGAACAGATGTTAGCCTCTAATGACTCCAGACTATGTAACAATTAGTAAAAAAAAAGCATGGAAATAAATTTATCTTTCTTAGTCTTCCTCCATTTTTACCCTCAAAAATTTGTTAAGAAATAAAAACATTGGAAAGAAAAAAGGAAGGTGGGCAAGTAATATATTGCAGTTTTTAGTCTCCTTTGTTTACTTAATTATCATTAATTCTAAAAAAAAACCCCAACAAACAAGAAACAACTCCAAATTTACCCACTAGAAGCAAGTAACAATTTTTGCTCTATAATCTAACACGGAACTTTGCTTTTCTGATTCAGCCAAGCTATCAATTCCTTTTACGACAGGAAGTTTCTCTAATCTTCTACTGAATTTTTATTTCTGAGTATCATAAAAAAATGAGCTTCAAAATATTATAAGCATTAAACTGATCAAGAATGGCCAGTCATCTTAGGTTGGCCTAGAGCAAAATTACCTTTATGACAACAACAAAAAATTTAACAGCAACTGTGTTTTCACTAAACTTGCCATATTTCATATGATGATCCTATGGTATTAGCCAAAGGATGTTTCTGGCAGAAGAAGCTGCCTCTGCTACTGACAAAATTGCCATTTTATCTAAACCAAATTTTTGTTGGGATACAAGACAGAAATAACTGAACACATGGAAGAGATGTCTATTTGGCATATTATGCTCAAAGGGGAAAAACAAAACTCACAAGTCCATGAGGTTTTGATTGGGTAAATAAAAATGGCAGAGCGCTGTAGTTTACTTGATTGACTTCAGCAATCTCAGTAACAGCACAAGTTTAAACAAGCAACTAAAAATTTCAGCCAGCTCACAGCAGTAAATGAGTGGTCACATTTGTTACAAACAGCTAATTACTGAAGAAAACTAGAATGGAGGACAAAGAAACACAACCACCAATTACTTCATATTTTTAAGGTTTGGCCAGTAGAAGAACAATGAAGTTACTCATTTTCACCTCAAATTGAAGGTAAAAATTTAGCTCTTTTAAAGAAAAGAAAAATCAAATGTGATAGGAATGGGATTCTGATATTACAGTTAGGTTAAACAAAACAGCTAAAGAACTTACAATGCATTTATCAAAGTTCCTTTTGACAGTCACCAAAACATTTCCAAGGGTAGTGCTGAGAAAGGAAGCTGGGTCCACATTTTGTGCCGTCCACACATGATGACTCATCTTAACTAACATGTAAAGGGAATTAAAGCTATCAATCTTGTCTCCCAGTGCTATGAGATTATTCAGCTCAGGTTCAATGCAACGAAATATTTTTGTCATCATTTGTCGAATCATGTCCTTCCTATTAAAAATACACAAGACAAAAGCATTACTCAGTTTACTAGGTTATTTTACATGTTCTTTGATAACACTTTTAGGATAAATTTATTGGATATAGCAGTCTAATTTGCATTCAACAAGTCTCATGAATTTCAGAGTGCAACAAAAGGAAGAAATGCCAATGCTGCAGAGTACAAATCAATAGTCACATGTATAAAATATTCCAAAAAAGATTTTCTGTATGGAAGCTGCCATGCACCGAGTCAGAAATTTGCTAAGCGTATTTTCCAAAGCCTGTTGCACACATTAGAGTGCCTAGTTTTGCTTTGCAAACAGTAAGAGAATTAAACATCTTTTTTTAAACTACTATAGACAGAAATGTTCATTTCACATGCAAATTTTTTTTATATTTACAGACACATTCAGTGTCTAGGTGTTAATTAAGAGTTCACTCTTCATTTTCCGTAAGAGGGAACAATTTCTGATTATAAAGGAAAAAGTTTTATATGCCAAATAAATTCACACGCAGGCTTAAGAATCAATAATAAACAGCAGCACATACTCAGATGAGACTGTTTGTGGAACACCAGAGGTATATGAACGAGACAAAGTTCCTCCATCCATTTCCTCCGCCTCATTCTGTAAGAACAAGGAACGTATATACAGGAAGCTGAAAGCTTGTTTCTAATTCTATACTTAAGTGGTAAGTATACCTGACAAAACCAAGATAATTATCACCTTTCCACCACTGCCCCCTCCCTCCCCATTTTTATTTTTTGTTTGTTTGTTTTTCAAAGTAGCAAATACAGTGGTTTGCAAGGTTTGGTCCTAAATAGATTTTGTATTGGAGAAAAACAAAATTATTGATCACCTGGATCACATGATTGCCAGATAAATTCAGAAATTATCCTTTAAACAGGCCTCTAATAAGGCCTGTTCAATATTTTTTACTTCAGTGATAGAATTAAGAGTCATACCGTTGCTGATCCTGAGATGCTCTGATGTTGCTGTAGTTTGAAAAACTTACTAATGAAGTCCTGTTCTGCCAGACACAGAGGCTCTAGTTCACTTAATACTTGCTCGAAAATCTAAAACCAGACAAGTATTTTATCAGTGTACTGAATGCTAATTTTAATTACTTGTTGCATAGGTTTCTATTTAGTTTCTATCTTCAGCAAGCTTTAGAAGGCTAATACTACTTAAAAGAGATGGAAGCACCTTGTACTTTTATCTTTAAAAGTAGTATCTGCATCTTCAACATAGTCCTTCCTCATCCATATAACACTGGGGAGAAAAAAACAAAGTTTTTCCACAACTAGAAGTTTTTAAGTCACAGGGAAAAGTCCTGAGGAAAGACTTTTGTGCTACACTAAAAATATCTGCATTTTAATAGTTAAGTCATAGGTTCTGCCACCCTCTTTTCTGCTTGGGTTACTGAGAAAGGAGACAAAATTAAAAGCCTCAGGGAAAAAAAAAGAGTTAAACTGTGTATGTAGAAGATAACTGCTCTGTAGAAGAAGTTTCTACATAGCTACTAAAGAAACAAACATTTTTAGATTTAATCTGAAGTGAAACACTGTTTTGGCAATAAGTCATAAAAATAATTTAATTTTATGAGTAAAAACTATTGAAATTGGAAGTTGGGGATTAGACATACTTCTAATCTGCCATCTTTACACAACAAAACTTTCTGTGCAAGTATTTATGAATTAAGATGGGGTAATTTACAGAAATGAAATAAATCTAGCACAACCACACTACTGAAAACTCCCCTAGAAAAAACCTACTAGGTCAGCTCAATAGCTTACAAATCTATACAACAGTCACACTCACATGTTCCAAATGAGCATTAGATAAAAGTCAGAAGTTGAAAAAATTAGCACAGTTCTTGTATAAAATAATTTTAAAAATATATCACTTCAATTCTGGACAATCTGCTGCTGTGGATGTGTAAAAGCTGTTTCAGGCATACAATATTTCCTCCCAGAAATAAAGATTGAGCAAGTGTTTGAAGAAGTCAGAAGAAAAATACTAATTTCCATCAATCCAATAGAGAACAAGATTATTTTTTTTCTCTCACTCTGCTAACAGTTCCTGTTCTCTCCACAGTACTGAGGAGTCAATTCCACAAGAAAGGAGGGGTGCCATCACTTTTAAAGGTTCAGAGAAAAAAATCAACTCAACAGGTGCCGAGGAAACTACAATAATAACTTATTGCCTTTGCTTAAAGCTGAAAAATGATGATAACTGTGATATGAAAGCAGTATAAATAAAATTTTAGGGCCACAGTCAAATCCTGGCTAAAGAAGATCATGCTTTCTTATCCTTCACTTTTGCAAAAGTGACAAAATGCAACAGAACACATGAACATTTGTAGTAAGCAAAAAAATAATCAGTTGAGAACTGAACTCATGGATTCTTACTTGTTTAAAGATGCATATTGGGCTTAAAATTAATAATAATTGTTTATGTTTTATATTCTTTACAGATCACACAACGCATATATAGGAACTAAAAGGAATCTTATCATTAGAGAAAAACACTCTGATCCATATATTTCTTAGAAGCTGCCTTTATTAAATGCATGGTGCACAGAATTTGAACTTGGCATGTTCCCAGATTTAAACAGTACAGATTTTTAAAGGATGTGCAAGACACTTCTAGTAGAAAACTAAGCAGGAATCCTATGCAACATTTTAGCTTTACCTTATCAAATTTTGTTCTATCAGCCACATCAAGGTCAGAGGCAGACATGTTTCCCATATCCAACAGTGAGGATGACTGAGACCTACGGTTTCCTGAACTCTGAACAGAGAGTTTGTTTAGGCTAGAAGTAGAACCGGTCAGTTTTCCAGAACTTCCATGAAGACCTGTAAAAGAAGGATACCATGCATGAGGGAAACAAAGGCACAACAAAATACTCACAAACAGATTCATTACAGAATGTACGAGACCCAGAGTTGCTGGTAGTCCTACATTAACAAACAACTCTATATTTTCTAATCTGCAAATTCTTTTGCTATAAACACATTCTTTTCTTGTTACAAGGTAACTGAAATACTTAAGCAAGTTTAGAATACAATGTAGCTATATAAGCTGCCATTGTAAAGCATAAATAGAGCTATAAAAGAAACAAAACTGTGAAATACAAGAACACTGGATTAGATACTCTCCTTGAAAGCAAAGACCAGTTATGATCTTTGTCAATGTATGTTGGGCAGTTTGCCACAAGCAGAAGAATTAATCTGCAAGAGGGAAAATATAAAACTGCTTTATATACGCACAGGCCATTTTTCATCTTGAACTTCATCTTTCTGCTTTTAACATCCTTTTGTCTACAGTTTGCTCCAGCTAGTTTGCTGGATCTCCAATCCCATAGTAACTCTGCTGCTAATGTTCCCCCTTCCTTTTGGTAATAATTAACATTCTGACATTTCTTCCTTCTATTGTGGGGCTCTCCTAGGTGAGGAGCGTATCTTTTGATTTTGATTTTTTTTTCCCCCCCCAAATTTTCAGAAATTCTGGAACAGGATTGAGAAAGTTAGCAGCAAAACATACCAAGAAATTGTCCGTATTTGACCCCCATGTAAACTTTTCACATTTCAACCACAAATAAAGCAATCCTGCAAGTTTCATTTAACTGCTATGTTGGTATCTAGTCTAGGGACACAAACAAAACAAAGTCTGTACATCTAATAGAAGTTATTTCAACCTGCTGGAAGAGCTGGAAAACTGTGACAAGCTCTCAGGCACAAACCTATTTTCTAGATCAACTAGTCGCATGGGAAAACCAAAAGATGTTGCCTTTACCTGCAAACCTTCAACTTCTACATTGGGCCATTTGAGCTGTGCTTCATTTTTGCCTTGCAAAAACAATGATTCTGCTAAAGCTCATTTTATTCTGAACAGAGTGCTTCAGTGTTAGGTAGATTTTCCATGATGCAGCACTACACAATGACACACATGCATTGACAATACCAACTAATGCAACTAGTTATACTCACTCTCAGTTTCCTGTTTGACAGCACTTTCTTTTCGAGGCAGTGTAGCTGGGATGGATTAGGTTGCAAGCATCAAAGACAAAGACAAGTTAAAATGCAGTTTGCACAAACCATGCACAAGATGCAAGTTAAGCTCTAACTGGAAAGAAACATGCAGAGAACTATAAGCAGCAAGTAACTACATAGCAAACATTTATTTGGAGAGTTACTATTCTATAAATTAAGTATCTAAGCTATGTGGGAACACAGTCAGTTTCTAGATATTAAACTTTACTTTTTCTTAGACAGTGTGTTCAAAAAACATTTTTGGTAAGATATATTTAAGTCCTCCCAAATTGAGAAGTCCATTACACTAGGGTTTTGCCAGAATTAACATTGCAAAAGACTCAGCTTCCAAGATGAATCATCATATCAATATTAGACATGAAGAAATTAAAATATATTTATGTAATTTTGTACTGAGTCAGAAATATTGTCCACCTCTTCAATTAAAAAAAAAACCACTACAAAAAAACAAACAATACTGCAAAATCATTCATATTAACAGTAAAACAGGCTAAACCTTTCTGTTGTGGATAAATCAGAATGTTTACAAAGACAACACATTTCTGTATTCATGCTGCACCAAAAACTGATGATGGCAAATTCAGAGAGGATGCAAAAAATAAATGTAGAGTAAAAAAAAATTACAAGGTGTTTTTTATTATTATTTTTCTGTGTTTTGCAGAATAGAACAGTTTCCTCAAGTGGACTTCAATACGAAATTTAGAGTAAATGGGAATTTGTAATAAATAGAGAATCCCTAACTAGTAAAAGGCATTTGCATACATACACTAAAAGCAGTATGTAGTATTAAGATCTTGATGAGGATGGATGCTACAAGCCCCCCAAAATGGAGCAGGCAAGCAGAACCTACTGTAATAGAATGAGTAAATACTTCTAAATGCCACAAACATGTCTTAAATACCAGATATTCTCAAGTAGGTAACACTACTGACAATTGTAACATCAAACTCAAATATAATTTCAGCCTAGTTTTTAAATCTTGGGGGTTTTGGAAATTTTTTAATAAAAGACTTAGGCCTAATATATTTGGCACATGCATCTGTCATGCACTGGTCCCACTTCTTCATTGTCCTCAATTTCCAAACACACAGGACCATATTACAGAACGTGAAGAACTACAGGCAAAGATCAGGCTCTAGACAACCAACAAAGTGGCTTTTGAAAAGCCACATCATATAAACATATGGCAGCAGGAGAAACCTTTACCACAGTG